AAAAAAAAATCTAAAATCCAAAGTTCAATTTTTGTGCAAAAATGTGCGATAAAACAATCTTAAAAATCGTTTAATCACTTGACAAAAAAATAAAAAATTCCTAGTTCAATTTTCGGATGAAAATATGCAATAAAAAAATCTTGAAAATCGTTTCATCATTAGAAAAAAATCTAAAATCCGCAGTTTAATTTTCAGCCGAAAAATTTCGTTTTCATCATAAACCTGACCATCTCATCGATACCATCCCGAACAATAGTGAAGATATCCCATCTGCACGTCATAAACTGAGTAAAAACCTTCGTGAAACGTTATCCAGTGAGAGTTAAGGCCCCGTTGGGTACATTGAACCGCTGGCCGCAGTGAAAGTTTCTATTATACCACTGGCCTTACCTTACTTTTCCTACGGCAAGCTTCACCGTGTTGTGTCATAAGTTGAGAGCGTGTACGGGCAGAGAGAACGAGGAAGTCTCTTCCGTTATATTGTCCCGTCAAGTCAGACATTTATTATCGTTTTTTTTTTATTCGAATAATAGAATACCTAATAAAATGATGCGCTCCGTTATGCGCGGCTCTTCCTATTATTTTTTTTTCACTCGTTTTGTTCCTGCGAATCGTACGATTTATCCTCCACTATTTTTTTTTCACGTTTGAGGCTGGGAGTTTTGTTATGGGAGAGATTTCTACTGCAACTTTTACGTAACCTGCGACGGGGGTCCAACTGCAGAGGTGATCGTAATCAAACGCTGGGAGTTGAGTAATTGTGAACCATCTTTGAAATTTCTATCGTTTTTGTGAAATTTCACTGTTGTTTTTTATCCCCGAGGGGTTGTGTCAGGTCGAGAGAATGTTTTCAGTGTATTTTCTCAATTTTTAGGGGGAAAACAAATTTTTTTTTGAGATAACAAGATGTTTTCAAGATTTTTAGTTCAATCCCAGGGGAAAATTTATTTTTTTAGAGCGCTTGTTGGTCTGAGCGGAATTGAGATGTTTTCGACGCACAATCAGGGAAATTTTCGATCGAAAACCCTGGTTATGAACCCATTTTGCCCCACGGTTTATCTTAAAACCCCTAAAAAATCATTTTTCACTCTGAAAGAAGTTTTACTCGGTGTTGCTCTAACGCATGGGGCAAAATGGGTTCATGACCAGTGTTTTGAATCGGAAATTTCCCCCGCCATCTAGTGGGACCACCCCCATTCCCCTGTCCTCCCTCGGTCTCCAAATAACTCGAAAAAAAGTGAAAATCTTCTTCTCCCCATGAGCAATCCCCCTAATTAACAGAAATATTCGATTAAAAATAATAATTAAGTGATTAAAAAATACCTAAATGTCTTCCCTGAAGTACACTCATGTTCGCGCACATAATCACCCCTCAACAGAGCCCTCAACTTCACAATAACCAGTATCTCCCTCGAAAATAAACTCAAACCACAAAATAACAGTGAAATAGTCAATTCAAATTGATATCTAGTTGATCCGAGGCCGAACAAATTCTCGAGCCAACTTCCATTAAGCATCGAGGACAGAATCAACGTACAGTGACATCCTCACTCTTCCCACAAGGTCCATAACAAATTCACTGACACACATTCACAAAAAAAAAATAATATCCAAACAAGATCGTCGGCTTTTCCGCGGCAAATTTTCTCGCGTAATTTTCAAAAATCTTTCAACATTTTTCACAAAATTAAAACAATGTTTCTCAACGCAATATCCTCACGACGTTCTCCATCAATTCAATCACATTTTTTAACACTTTATTGTTATTGACATTTAAACTTCTTAATTGATTTTTTAATGAGCGAATTTTTAATGGAACAAATTGTTTTTTTTTTTGAATTTTGATTTTTTGCGTAAGAGAGTTGATTTATGAGCTCTTGCCTCGGGTTTTTGGGGGCCAGAGCCCGACTGACTAACCGAAAAACTTCAACGGGCGTTTGGAACGCGGGCCAAACTGGGTGGGAGGTAGTGGTGGTAACAGTGACCTCGATTCGTAAAAAAAAAACTGTACATTTTTACCGTGTATGAGCCCATTCGAATCGCGGGGCGGGGGGAGGGGGTTATGATGGAATAAAAAATGAGTGAAGGAGTGAGTGAGAGAAAGAGAGCGAGAGAGTGAGTGGAGGAGTGAGGAACTTTCACTCTTCTCCTTTCGTTCTCCTCCCGTTATTTTCCTTTTTCATAAAAATTTTTTTTCCTCCGAGTTTTGGGAGGGGAATCTTCTCATTACACTGGCGACCGTGTCCTTGTCTCTGGGCGAGGTTGGAAAGTTTCACTTTCATTCGATCATTGGTTTTTCGGATTTTTCATTTGAAAATGTCGGAGGAGAGCAGGAGTTTTTCCGGTTCCATACACTGAGGGAAAAACAAACACGTTGTCAAACAAGTCTTGTTTGGGCCAACAAAATCGCTAGTTGAAAATTGTCAATAAAGAATTTGTTTGGTTGGAATTTGAAAGTCTCAAACATGAANGATAATTTAATGTTTAAAATTTTTTTCATTTATGTTAAAAACTGACAACTTCACAATTTAACGGTAATTGTGATTGATGAATGTGCCTATCCCTGGTCTCAAATTAAATTTTACTTCTATTCCAAATATTTTATCCCTATTTTACAANCAAGTTGCAAGATTGCTATCGTATCGTTATTATTGTTTCATTTAAGGGTTCGTTTATTGTCTGTGATTATTAGACAGCCGAAACGAAAAACTACTATCCCTTGTTTCGCTTAAAACAAAGATTTTTCGGGAGCAAAATACGTACGGGAGTGTCGAATAACGAAGGAGTAGTGCTGGAAATGACATTTCTTGCGTGCAACACAGAATGCAATTTTTTTTCAACTACTAAATCTATTTTCGCGACAAAAATTCTTCATTTCGGCGCACTCTCTGCATGTTTAGCACAAAAAAATCTTTTTTTGATAATTTTCAAAAAACTATTTTCTCGGCACAAGTAAGACTTGTTTGAGAACTTTGTCGTTTTTCTCTCAGTGTACTGAAACAACTTTAAAATTTGATTTATCTTAACCGAATTTTTACTCGTCTCAAACAGGGATGGCCAGTAATATTAAATGTTGACAATATTAAGAAGGATTATCTCCATATATTGTTCAAAGTTTAACTATATTTAACAAATCTAAAATATTAAGAAAATTTAATAACTAAATTTTCCGATTGATGGTGAATAAAATATTTGATACTATTGAAATGTAATTTTTTTGTTAACAAGCTAATTCTAAATTTAGGTACTTGATTTTCAATTATCGAAATAATCGTCAATCTTCCTACCTAAATTATTGGTTAATAGAATATATCAACATTTAAATATGCAAATTGGATAATTTAATATTTAAAATTTTTTTCATTTATGTTAAAAACTGACAACTTCACAATTTAACGGTAATTGTGATTGATGAATGTGCCTATCCCTGGTCTCAAATTAAATTTTACTTCTATTCCAAATATTTTATCCCTATTTTACAAGATTGCTATCATATCATTATTATTGTTTCGTTTAAGGGTTCATTTCGTGTCTGTGATTATTAGACAGCCGAAACGAAAAACTACTATCCCTTGTTTCGCTTAAAACAAAGATTTTTCGGGAGCAAAATACGTATGGGAGTGTCGAATAACGAAGGAGTAGTGCTGGAAATGACATTTCTTGCGTGCAACAGAGAATGCAATTTTTTTTCAACTACTAAATCCATTTTCGCGACAAAAATTTTTCATTTCGGCGCACTCTCTGCATGTTTAGCACAAAAAAATCCTTTTTTGATAATTTTCAAAAAACTATTTTCTCGGCACAAGTAAGACTTGTTTGAGAACTTTGTCGTTTTTCTCTCAGTGTAGGTTGGCGAAAATTTTTGCCAAAGTTTCTTCAAATTCTTTGAATTCAGTGGTACTTGGGAAATAAAGGGACAGAATGGGTTATTGATGGGAGGTTTCGCGTGGAGGTTTTCCTGGTTATCTAACGGGTCAACCGCAACTTTCGGATTTTCAAAATCAGATGTAAATTTTGTCTTTTAATGGGCTGAATTTTTATTCATGTTGGGAAGCCATTTAACCATTTATTTATTTAAGGCTTCAGGGAAGAAGTGGATTTTTGGGATTTTAAAGGTCGAGTTAGAGATGGAGATGTGATGATCTTTGGGTTGATGGGACGGGGAAATTTCCGATTCTAATCACTGGCGTTGAGCCCATTTTGCGCCACCACTTTTGGAGTTATCGTCAGAGTTTTAACGATTAAAGGGGTTGCTTCAATATAATATGACAGTGAACATAATATAAATGTGTTATATGACAGTTTAACAATAGATAAATATAATTCAGTAGCGAAGTGATAAAACAGTTTAAGTCGACTTATCTCTTAGTTGAGTTTTTGAAGAATATCTCCGAATCTAGAAGAGATAATGGAATTTTTGTTATAACCTTTTTTATTGAGCAGATTGAGTGCTACAAAAAAGGTCCCGATAAAAATTTAGCTATCTCCCTCAGATTCCGAGATATTCACTAAAAACTGGCCAATATTCAAAATCGGCTTGAACCGTTTTACCACTTCTCTACTGAATTGTATACAAGTTTATGAAGATTCAATTGTCTCAGCCTTTGGGCTCTTACTTAGACTGTTGAAAATGGTTATCAAATTTCGAGATTTGGGTAGAATTCAAGGAAATTCGGAAGTTTTCAGTGAGAAACTGAGTTTAGAGTGAGTTGAGTTTAGAGTGAGATGGAAATAAAAAAGGAATCAAAATTATTATAATTTGACAACTTGATTGAATTTTCAATGGAACATGAGTATTCAAAAGGAAAATAATGTGAATTCTCAATTTCCGGAGTACTTTATTCAATCGAAGATTTGTCATCGTTGATATCTCGGGAAATAACGGAGTGAAATAGGCGCAAGACCAGTGTTTCGGATCATAAATTTTCCGGGTTATCTAGTACGTCGATCTCAACTTTCGTATTCCCGAAATCTGATGGTTATTTTAATTCTCAATACCAGCGATTGTCATTCAGTCGGAGATAATTAAGAAATTAGTATGATTTGAGAGATGTCTTGATTTGTGGAAAGAAAACGTTTGTTTGTATTTTATTTAAACCACAGAGGGTTGAATTATAAAATAGAATGCATGTTAATAGTAGGAAAAATCTAACAGTGAAAAGCCCTGTATCTTGAGTATTTCGGTGACACATCAACTACGGCCAGTTGACCATCTTGAAATTTAGCGAGGCTTGATGTTATTTATTAATGAATTTGAATGATTTTTAAGATTCACTTCGAAATTGTCGGCAATGCGATTTATGAAGTAATGGGTCATTTCTGTGTTGGATCTAATGTGGAGGGAGGAGATAGGGCTGCCATAGTAGGCATTATTAATAACACGGAGATATTTGTTTAGAGTAACTTGGAATTTGGCGATATGGGTGGGGGCTGCATTATGCCAGGCGGGTCAGCCATAGGTTATTACCGGCGTGACTGATGCCTTATACAATTTGAGTTTAGCTTGTGTCGACAGGGATTTGTTTTGAAATAGGTAGTAGAGCCTAGCCATGATGGCTTTTGCTTTTTCATTCGCGATGTTAATGTGTGTGATACATAAGAGCTTTTTGCCAAGGGTAACTCCGAGGTATTTCGTCTTTCTTCGAAATGTTTATATCATTATTCTTTGATACTTGTGGCTTGTATAGACATTTAGAGGTGAAGAACATGATGAATTTGGTGAATCATGAAAATTAAAGTAATTCAAGGACATTTATTCAACATAATTGGGGAGTTTAACAGTAGGGTTGAATTATAAAATAGAATGCATGTTAATAGTAGGAAAAATCTAACAGTGAAAAGCCCTGTATCTTGAGTATTTCGGTGACACATCAACTACGGCCAGTTGACCATCTTGAAATTTAGCGAGGCTTGATGTTATTTATTAATGAATTTGAATGATTTTTAAGATTCACTTCGAAATTGTCTGCAATGCGATTTATGAAGTAATGGGTCATTTCTGTGTTGGATCTAATGTGGAGGGAGGAGATAGGGCTGCCAGAGTAGGCATTATTAATAACACGGAGATATTTGTTTAGAGTAACTTGGAATTTGGCGATATGGGTGGGGGCTGCATTATGCCAGGCGGGTCAGCCATAGGTTATTACCGGCGTGACTGATGCCTTATACAATTTGAGTTTAGCTTGTGTCGACAGGGATTTGTTTTGAAATAGGTAGTAGAGCCTAGCCATGATGGCTTTTGCTTTTTCATTCGCGATGTTAATGTGTGTGATACATAAGAGCTTTTTGCCAAGGGTAACTCCGAGGTATTTCGTCTTTTTTCGAAATGTTTATATCATTATTCTTTGATACTTGTGGCTTGTA